GGCCCGGGGTGGGCCGATGGGGGCAGGATGTGCGAGGGGTATATTACACAGGAAAATCGCAACAATTCCTTGCTGCGCGGGCTGGCTGTGCGCATCAGCTGGGGAACCCAAGAGGCACCGATACGGCTAATTACCCCCCGGACCTCTCCCGAGGTGCGCTCTGACCAGAACTTCGAGGCGAATCCAGCGGCGGCGACGGGGGAGGGGGAGGACGAGGAGGAGGAGAATGAGGAGGAGGAGGAGGAGAAGGAGGAGGAGGAGGAGAAGGAGCAGGGAGAGGAGGAGGAGGAAGAGGAGGAGGAGGAGAAGGAGGAGGGGGAGGAGGAGGAGGAGGAGGAGGAGGAGGAGGAGAAGGAGCAGGGAGAGGCGGAGGGGGAGGAGGAGGAGGAGGAGGAGGAGGAGAAGGTGGAGGAGGAGGAAGCCGAAGCGTAGAGGTATGAGTACCTGCTCCTCCTCTGATCGGAACCTCGTGTGGGACCTGGTCGGCGTGTCTCTCTCCTCGACGGCCTGCTCCCTGGGGGCGGCCGCCCGGAAAAGGGGGGCGGGCGAAGCCTTCCTGGGGGGCCTTCCCCGCGGACGCCGGGCGGCGAGGCGCCGCGCATGAGCCTCTCCCGGTGCCTGCCGTCTCTCCGCGGTCGGTTGCCAAAAGCACCAGAATCGGGGAGACGCAACCGGCGGCGAGCGAGGGGAGTGAAATGAGAGGGAGAAGGCCTTTTCCTCCTTCTCCTCCTCCTCCTCCTCATCCTCCTGACGGCGGCGAGCGAGGGGGGAAGTGAGAAGCAGAAGGCCTTCTCAGAAGGCGGCGGGGCTTCTCAGGAGCCCTCCGGCCTTCTGAGAAGTCTTTGTGCGTATTCGGGGAATGTTCGAAAGCTTATCAGAAGGCTGGGGGACTTCCGAGCCTTCTGAGAAGGCCTGCCCCTTCTCACTCCCCCCCGGGCTTGCCGCCGAAACAACAATAATCGGGGAGACCTGAGACTCGGGTTCGGGGGAATCGGGTTGGCCTGACGGGGCAGTCATGAAAATGACAAGACCCAGTCTGAAATTTGACGCGACCTCCCGCTGCAAACATCCCACGAAAACGGAACCGTCAAAATCCAAGACGCTCGTCAAAAAGCGTCGGCACACATACCTTCCAGCGTACTCGAGCCTTCCGTTTCCCCGGCAGAAGAGCATGCTGCTGCCCCGCGTGAACTTCGGCTCCCCACGGTTCCGCCGGCTCGCGGGGCTGAATGGGTCCTTCTAGCGCGTGCGGAGGGACGCAGCAGGAGGACGAGAAGGAGGAAGAGGAAGAGGATAAGGATGAGGATGAGTAGGAGGAGGAGGTGGAGGAGAAGGCGGAGAAGGAGGAGGGGAAGCAGGGGAAGGAGGCGGAGGAGCAGGAGGAGGATAGGAGGAGGAGGAGGAGGAGG